CATTCAACTAAAGCTAGGAACACGGCCTGATGTATAAAACAGCACAGCACATGCAAACTGGAAACGTGCATGCTAATGCAGTCCAGTAATCATCAGCCTGCATGCTGCCATACGAGGTTCCTCTTTCCTGTTATTAATAATTGAAAGCAGGTGGGAGCTGTAAAGAATACTGTCACTGTTTTCCTGTTTCCTGCCATGGTAGGAAGCTAACTTATCGCTAAGTGGCCTCTGTTACAAACACTATGCTTTGTCATTCTACCTTTCAAATTGTTATTCAGATAATTACAGAGACACACAACAAAAATGAATGTAACAACCACTTTGTAATCTTAGACTTTCACTAAATGTGTGTGTCAATGCAGGGTGTGTTTTTCCAGCTCTAACTGCTAGTGTTGCCAGATAACAGACTGATAACAGGGATGGGACATTCTCACAGTTTTAACTCAACTGGTATGTTATTTCTGGATTTCCTTTATCAAGACACGTGGTGGGAAAGATCCAAATATTCTGTACCCATTGCTTTAGTAATAATTTGGTTAAAGAAATAGATATGGTTGATGGAAACAGAGAGCAAAGGAGCACAATATTAAACTGGAAGTGTTTCAGGTAAAACATATTTGTTTGTTTGTTTATTTATTTAATATTCACCCCATTACACTCACTTCGACTATTTTGCTTCCACATTACCTACTTTTGTGTTCTTATTACTGTTTAAGAGCAGAAGTGCAATTACTTTACTTAGCATTAGAAGCTTTATCGTGCTCCAAGAATATGTTTCTTAGCTTTAAAAAAGGTGTTATTACTTTTTCTGGCATAAAAATAACAAGTTCGATTCCCAATATGTTTCAAGTTTGGAGAAATAACGCATACATGTATGTGAACTTCTTTGGAGTTATGAGCAACTGTTAGCTGTGTGAAAGTGGCTGGTTGGCAATAATACAAAGACATGGTAAGGTTTACTCTCACAGGCCAGAAGGGTAGTCACAGGTCTGCACTGCAGGGTAGGGATGCTCCGATCGATCGGTCACTGATCGAGATCTGCCGATACTCACTCTCTACCGATCGATCGGTGCTCTCTAAACATGCCGATCGCGAGGGCCGATCGCATGACGTAAAATACATGACACTTTTCTCTGTACACGGCAAAACAAGCTCGCCAAAATGGCTTCACCGGTCTGGCATTATTTTAAGGTGTCCGAAAAAGACAGTAATATAGCGGTATGCAACGTGTGTGTGAAGCAGAAATCCTGCAGCTCCACCCGCTGTGACGGACCGGTGAGCGGAGCGAAACACACAAGAGTTAGACCTAACACACTTAGCTATTTTATCTACCTCTGGAACAAGCTAAACTAGTTATAAATATGTTTATTCTTCACTGTCGGCCTCACACATTACTGGATCAGCGAGCTGCATGAGACGATACTGACGGGCTGTCAGGAGAGGGAGAGAGGGGGAGAGAGGAGGAGAGAGAGAGGGAGAGAGAGGAAAAGAGAGCGCTTCCGCTCATTTCTCCCGTGGTATTATCCAAAGTGAATGTAAACTTGAATAATATACATAATTTGAATGGAATAATTAAGTTGATTGTTGTTTGTGGAAGCTCCAGTGAATGAGCCCCATTAACTGAGTTTTAAACATCACTTTAAATGGAAGATTTAAAGTGATGTTTAAATCTTCCATTTAGGCCCCGCCCACTCGATCGGATCGGCGATCGGTATCGGCCGATACTGATTCCGGCGATCGGCCCCAAAATTGGCGATCGGAGCATCCCTACTGCAGGGTATTAAATAATACTTTTTAAAAATTACTGTTAATAACTAAAAAAGTACAGAGAAAGCTTGATTTAATCAATCTCTAGATAAAGTAATTATTATAAACACGCCATGAAAGTTATTACAATGTCAATGTGTGCTTTCTTAAAGAGTCCAGCCAGATAGTGTGTATGCTGAGTGGGCCGATATGCTTCAGTACTTTTGTAGTTCCTCATAGCAGAGCTATACACCAGAAGACACAACAACGTTTTGAAAATGTCCCCATATAATAATAATAATAATAATAATAATAATAATAATAATAATAATAATAATAATAATAATAATAAATGGAATTTATAAAGCGCCTTTCACGGGACCCAAGGTCGCTGTACATAGTGGACAGACAAAACAAAACAAACTGTATGATTTCAAGCCATTTTCCGACGTTATCCTGCCAGACATCTCAAAGAAAGCCAGAATAAGTTGAACATCAGAAGATTAAACATCAATGAAGTTTTATCAAGCATTGCTCTTATCATGTTAGGAAAAGTCAGTCAGATAGTTAGTAAAACCACTCAGCCCTAAAGAGATGTTTAAGGCAAAACTTTGTAAATGAAGGTTTAATTAATCCCAGAAAGTGGTACACGCAACTGCCAGGCGACACTCACTAAAACAGTCCAGACTTCAGCTGGTAAGTAAACACTTGCACCGAGGTGAATAAGAAAAGCACATTCAAGCAGTGAAATGTATGCAAATTTAAAACATCCTAAGAAAATGCTGGAGTCAGAGTGGCCGGAGGTTCAACAAGCTATAATGCTTTACCCAATTTCGATCCCTAAAACTGCCATCAAGTCAATTCCTGTTGTCAAAAACCAGGTACAAATAATCTAGTACCTGACTGTAGAGGTAAAGTTACAAACATGTTACAAGTCAAATTAGCCAATATAATCTGTGATAGTGACATTATTTCTATTCGCAAATAGTCTGATATTGAAACTTGTAGATCATACAGGCGCCATAATTATAGAACATCAATTGAGATTAGTATCAATACACATCATCCAGTTATTCTAATAATGAGTCCATTCAAAGGGGTGTTAAAGCAGGCAACAGACAAGTAAAAAGCAGCTAGCAGAAATGATGTAATATCTTACTTAAAGATATGACAAAGTAGGCAAATGCTGGAAAAAAACTAAAACAAAAAAGGTGTAATTCTATACTAATATTTAAAAGAACAATTGACAGTCATTTTGTAACAACTAATCTAGACTGTCAAGCTCATCTGTAAATACAATGACAATGTTATAAAAACATATAGTAATCACTGAAACTGAAACTGAGCTGAGGTGTGTATTTAATGTTACCTTTAGGGCATATATTCACTGGTTTCCCCAGGTATGCTGAGAGACAACCAGAGCCTACAGGCATGTCTACGGGACAGGCGTGTGTGAGAGGCGGAAACATTCAGCTGAGGCTGCAGTCAGTTTATAAACATTGGCTTGTCAAACTAATGTCAATCATTATGGCCGTGGAGGCTAGCTTGGTAGCTACCTAACATAACCTATGCAGTGTGTTAGAACGTTAGCTTAAGCAATTCCACATCCAATGTTACCGCTACAAGGCTTTCAAGATGACTCACCCCAATCAGGGTTACTTATATCAGGATGACAGTAGTGTACATGTGAAATGTCTGCTTAACAACTAGCCGAAGTAGTTAGCTATTAGCTAAAATCAGCTTCATAATGATAAGATGAGGAGTCCCACAGCCACACCCACAACTGTGTTTACATTGTGACAGGTCACCAGATGTCCATCAATAGACTGAGTCTGAAAAATACACACAAACGCGCCTTTTGTACCTACAGTACATTCAAATAACTGAAATAGTGGTCAATGTTAGTTAGCAAGCCAGCTAGGCTCACGTTTCATTTCAAAAGCATATAGCCTGTCAGCTAATGTTAGCCTGCTGACTAGGATAGCTAACCTAGCTAAGGAACAAAGGTCTGATAACGTAGGACATTCAACATACACGGACATTTTTATTGGGAAGGACTTTTCATTAAGCCGTATATTCTTACCGAAGAGTGGGACCAACACAAGCCGTGTCGGTGCTCTCAATTTCCTGCAAAATCCGCTCGTGCTCCGTTATACACTCCAGGGTCTCATTCTCCGCCATGACTGTTATGTGTGTGTGAGGCTAACACTCAGCTAACACTGCAGCTACAGCGCACAGCTCGGGGCAGCGCGGGCTCTCGCCTGTGGGGGGCGCACTACTGCAGACTGTTGACTCTAATTTAATTAAACCTGGAAAGCAGCCCATATAATGTAATATACAGCTGTGGAAAGAGACCACTGCAGCATGATCAGTTTCTCTGGTTTTTACTATTTATAGTAAATTGAGTACAATTAAACAACAAATATTTTATTCTATATACTACATTTCTCTGTGTTGGAGTTCAACAGACACTGGAATGTAATGGATGCCATACGTGTAGACATTGAGATTTAAAATAAATGTGAATTGGTTTTTTTCAGAGCTGTATATAAATACATATTATAATTAAATAATTAAATTTTTCAGACAAGAATAATTATGGCTATCTTTAATGTACATGTTAATTTGGAAGTACTATTCTAATGAAAGTGCATTATGGTCATAAGTACATACAGGGCAGGTTGTAAAGTTTTATGAGGAAAGTTTATTTAAATTGCTCAACATCACATTAAGTTTAGTTAAAAGAGATTTGATAATATGATAGATAATATCGTATAAGCATCTAACGTAAAAAAGGGGGAGCTCTATTGTCTTGTCCTTGATTGATATTATATTTTAAGAAATGTTATAATTACACTTCACATGTGAATGAAAATACAGATTGAAAAAAACGTATTCATGCCTAAATACGTTGTTTTTTGTACCAGGCTGCAGATGGTCGATCTCAACCACCTGACAAGCAATACTTGGGGCAAAATGAAAGGCTGGAAATAAGCACTCATTCCATTTTCAAGCTAAATTCTTTGTATATTTAAAGTGATTTAAGAGCGCATTGCACTAAAAGTACAATTGTACTTTTAGCATTTTGAGCACATAAAAATGTATGTATGGTTTTCTTGGTTGATGGCATCTCTTGATGTGTTAATTCCAATTAGAATTTTAAATCATTTGATATGTTACTCAGGTTATCGAGTCCTCCATCAACGGTATCAAATGGAAGAAGAAAGAGTGTGTTGAATATTGCAGGATTTTACCTTAAGGTGGTTCCTAGGGGCAGGTCCACAGATTCTAACTCAGCAAATATATTCCCAAAAACCTTCTCTTCTTCTTTGTTCTCCTCTTCACTCAGACTGGGAGGGTCAGGCAAAGCAGCGTGGACCCTGTTACTGGCCATTTCTCTTTTGCAGATTCTTCGAATGAGGAATACAAATCTGCATGTGTGAAAGAGAAGGAAACTAAGAAAATGTGTGTGTGTGTGTGTGTGTGTGTGTGTGTGTGTGTGTGTGTGTGTGTGTGTGTGTGTGTGTGTGTGTGTGTGTGTGTGTGTGTGTGTGTGTGTGTGTGTGTGTGTGTGTGTGTGTGTGTCATGAATTCCAGGGCACCTGCTAGGGTCAGCAGAAAAAGAGGGAGCAACAGGAAAAAGAGACCTTGTGATTCTCCGGACTTTGAAACCAACAAAACTAACTTCAGCTTCTCCCTGTTTGTACATTTGTCTAATTTATTTATTTTATAAGCCTTTAAAAAGACCATGAAGAAGCCTGAGCTGTTTGCCACTGCATAATAAAACAAAGTCAGCAGTCAGACCAGAGATAAGGTGGTTCATGAGTAAATAAATTAATCATAAATAACAAGAGCAAAATGGAATGGAAATGATATGTGTAATTCTGGTAACAAAGAAACTTAAAGTAGGAAAAAGGAACTTCACAGGTTTTGTGTTGCAGAAGTATAAATATTAATCGTTTTAATTTGTTTTTGTTTATAAAACCATTTGCATGGAGCTGTTGCATTTTGTGAGACACATGTATTTAAAGGGGACCTATCATGCAAAATGCACTTTTGTACGTCTTTTATACATGAATATGTGTCCCCGGTGTTCCAGGGAACTCACCAAGTGTCAGAAAACACAACCCTCTCTATTTTCCTCCATACCCAAGTCTCTAAAAAAGGGGCTGCAACGGATCTGATAAAAACTGATCCAGATTTGAACACTGTCCTGACGTCAGGACGGTGGCGCTACGGCTATTGGGCCAACTCCACCAATCAGGAGGAGACAGCCACGGCCATTGCCGTTCGAAAGTGCTGGAGACGCTGTAGTACATATGCCAGGCCTGTAGGTGGTGCTGTTCTCACTGAATCAGCCCTTGCAAAAACAGGGGTAAAAAAGTGAAATGAGGCATGGCTAAAATGCATGATCTGTTTGGTAATTAAAAATAAAAAGTATAAATATGCCTTATATAGGTATGGTCCTACACTATATTATTCAAATATAGCATGATAGGTCCACTTTAAGTAAGCAGGATGGAAGTATAAGCAAGAGCAAGAAGAAAAAAATGGAGCCACAGAAAGGTTACCACATTTTCTGAAACAACCTTTTGAGTAAGGCAGAAGGCCGTGAGCAACTTACTCAACAACTTTCTATTTCCTGCCTTTCTTCTCCAAATGCATTGGCCCATTAGGCGTGTGGAAGTAGTCGTTGACAATCAGCTCTTTACAAAAGACCTGACTATGAGTTTCCTTATTACTCCACCAAAAACAAGAAGTGGTCTCACACACACACACACACACACACACACACCCACACGCACACACACACACACACACACACACACACACACACACACACACACACACACACACACACACACACACACACACACACACACACACACACACAGCAGTTAAGGAAATGTGTCATTATTACAGGGGCAGACGCACAGATGGTTTGATGCTTTACAATGGGGACAAAAAGAGGCCAACTGTTTTCAAAGATATAAGAGGACAGATGAATGGAAAATGAATATATGATTATGTACATATCTTTCCTTCTCCTTTACAAATACACCAAGAGCATTGATATTGTGTGCTCCTCCACAGAAGTCAACAGTGCCAATATCTTTGAAATTCTCCCATCTCTCTTTTTTTTTAACTAGCACATGGCAACAACAGTTTGGAACAATTGTGGTTATTGGAAAAACATATGGTTTAGGGTTGGTCAAATAAAGGTTTGAATACAGAAGGTTTTGGTAAGACGTAAAACTTTCATCTATCCGCTTACTTTCCTGAAACTTGCTCCCTGTGTTGGCATTTAATAAAAATCCCCTATTTACTGCTATAGATATCATTTCAGGTAGTGGGAGACTCCTAATGCCTCTGATTCTTTCTGTCAGGGTCATAGCTACCATTGAGGACACTGAGGTCATGTCCTTTGTATATTTGAGTAAACTTGAGGGTTTAGGGTGCTGATATCCTGCAGTCCTTCCATTGATCATTTTTGCGTTATTAGATCAAACCAATGTGAGATGTAGATTGTTTTCCTGGTAATAGTTAGGGCTACAGGTCACATCATTGTGGTTTGTATTGAACATGTGTTGAGTGAATCCAGATCGTCCAATAAAAACACTAAATAAGTCAACTGTAGTGTTGCATCACTGTAAGGGATTTAAAGAAGAGAAACACATCAGAGAGGAGCAGATGAGCATTGGTATCACATTCTGCTGTTAGCCTAATCCTATCCTCGAAACAGCCCATCCATCCACGCATTTCATTTATCGTCCTGTGAGTTAGCCAAAAGCACATCCACAAGATTTTCATAGGTATTCTTACCAGTAACCATTTAAATACTTGTCCTTCTCTAGTCCACCACGGACCCCATTTCGATATATATAATACAGGGTCTTGGACAATACTAAAACCCATAAGGACTGCTGTGGCATACATTCTTTGCTTCCAGTTTGTGATGTGTATTTTACTCGCATGAATAAGGGATACAAAAGTTTAATATCTTATTTGGATATTCACCAATTGCCTATTTATACAATAATCTCATACCCGTGTTTTGGGCAGCATGTTTTAGTCCCTTTTTCTTACAGAAAGAAAATGTAAGTTATTGTCAAACATCCATGACTAAATGAGACTACTAAACGTTATCACCCCGAACATTAGCTTAGCTTAACAGTGGTGACGTGAAGTCAGGCAACCGTGAACAATCCCATTGCTTTTACTCCAGGGAGCCCTTGCAATGCATACATCCAGGTCCACCTACACAAATACATTATCACTGCACTACTCTATTTAGTGTTTTCAGACACTATAGGTAATGCATAATAAGTACTTTTACTTTTGGTACTTTAAGTATATGTTGATGCTACATTTTTTTACTTTTATTTCACATTTTGATTGCAGGACTTTTACTTGTAGCAGGGTATTCCTACACTCTGGTGTAGTGGCTTTTACTAAAGTACAAGGTCTTATTCCGCCTCTGACTAGATGTGACAGATGTTGACAATTTGTTTCACTTAACCATGTTTATTGCAGGTCTGTTAGTGTTTCATATCACCAAACGCTAACCCTTACAGATTGTCTGATGATAATCATGATTGTGTCCCCTTTGAAAGAGGATGGGTCACTGCAGCGAGGGCTCTGGACTGTCCCTCTGCTATTCTTCTCTCCGAGAGCTCTTCCTCTCCATGCTCTGCCAGCTTCCTGCCAGCTCCCCTGTGTGTCCGGGCCACAGGCTGCTATACAACTGCTGACCTCCATTGTAAGTTACACTGCTAACAAATCCCCCTGAAGGACATCCTGGATGGAGACGCTCCCCTCCTACAGCCACAGAGGTTGTCCAGATGTTTCAGGCAGGGCCAGGCTCCCACTACAATGTGTTAAGTATCAGTTTGACATTTTGGGAAATACACAATTTGCCTCCAAATCTCATGGAAAACTGCCTCCTGGGTGTGATTCGCTTAGCAACAAAGACTGGCAGCAGGGATAATACGCCTATCTTAGAGATTACCCTATATAGGCTCCATGGTGTGTTATTCTATTTTCTTTTTTTCCACTTATTCAATAATTTGCAGACAAGTCACAGGGGACAGCATGTGGCTTTGCAGGATGGGTTTGGTTTAGTTGTATTATTCTATTCAGTTTGTAAATAAGCACATACATAAATCATACACAGATATGTTACCTAAATTGACTACATGTCTGATCCCATGAATGAGTGTTTTCTGTAAATGAGCTTGTACTCTTTATACTTATGTTAGTATAGATATGCAGAGGATGTAATTACACATTTTGTTCTGGAATGATTATTGGTTTGGATTATGAAGCCTTTTCCCCATGTTCTATTGGAATATGAAGTCCATTGTAAGGGTCTGAAGGAGATGTGAGTGTATACAGGTTTGAGAGAGGTTTTCCATCACAGTGGTGAGAGATGAGATGAGATATCTTTCCTCATTGTGTTTGAGTTGGTTTGCTATGTATGTATCAGATTTTCCGTAATGTTCAAAATGGTTTTACTGTAGTCTTTGTAACATTCATTTAGTGTTTTTATGGAGGACGTTGTCAAGTTGAAGTTTAGTATTTTTAATATTAATGTTTTCCATGATTAAAGGATAATCAAATACTGTGTGTTGTGTGAAAATGTTGCAAATGTATCAGTGGGACCAGTCAAAAACTTGATTCAAGTTTCAAGTTTTCATTATTGTGTCTCGAGAGAAAATTGCTGATGGAAATAAACTAAAAGCAAAAAATGTCATAAAAACTCAATAAAGGCAGGCCTGAACTCAAATAAATCTATCTCACTGTTAATGGAAGATGATATTATTTGTGTGACTATTGGTATTGGTGTGCACCCTTATGAACAGCTGACTGAGTGAGGCAGCACTGACGCCTGCTGCCCTGCAGAGGGCGCCAAAGAACCAAAGTGCATGTTGACATACTTCTTTTTAAACTTAATCAAGGAGAAATCTGAATTCATGGTGTTTGAAAGGTAGATTGAAAATACAGTTTATTTTGGAAAAGATTATTGCCACAAAAAATCAAAGGGTGGCTCAATAAGTTTATGGAAAACAATCAGCTCTAACGAAGAGTGGGATTATAAGGAACAATACACATGCTAGGTATGTTATGTGTGGGGTTTGGGGTTGTATTGGGCTGTCGACCAATGACATGTTGAAGCGATCCTATTGACTGTTGTTTCTATTTCTATTTATGTATTCATTTGTTGTCTTGTTTTGTTCTTCTGTTTGTGTCTAATGAGTGCTATCACACTTATTGTATTGAGATGGGAATGTCATCTCCCTTATGTTATTGTTATGTCCATGTCCAAACAAATGTAAGTACATGTTTCCGTTTTTGACAGAATACATGAATCAAATACGTGTAATCAACTACCCAGATGCTGCTTCTCTCCTCACCATTGCTTCACAATCAACAATCACTTTCTACTATTATTCATCAACATCATT